TTATAGTACAAAACACAGTGGAAATAAACCGAGGGAACTGGGCCGTTTAGGGTTTCTTTGCTAGGGTTTAGGGTTTAGGGTTTAGGGTTTAGGGTTTAGGGTTTGGCGTGCAGTGAGCCCCATCCAACGAGCGATCCGCCGCCTTCAGCTCGACAGCGTCCCCGAGACCTTGCCCTGCAGGTGGGGCCTCTAAACCCTAAACCCTAAACCCTAAACCCTAGACAACAAACCCTAAACCCTAAACCCTAGACAGCAAACCCTAAACCCTAAACCCTAGACAGCAAACCCTAAACCGTAAACCCTCAAGCTTCCAAGATGCGACGAAATCCCCACCATCTTTTACCGAGGTTTACATAGGGGGCAATCTCTGCTTCTAGGGTTTAGGGTTTAGGGTTTATGTTTTAGGGTTTAGGGTTTAGGGTTTAGGGTTTGTGTTGCTGCAGGACGGCTGAGTTTCAGAAGATTCGGCAGACGATACTAACAGGGATTACGCAGCAGCAAGGAGGAGAACTCATGTGTATGCTGCTGCTGCTCTTGCTGCTGCTGCTGCTGTCGCGCTTGTTGCTGCTGCTGCTGCTGCCGGTCTTGCTGCTGCTGCTGCTGTCTCTCTAGCTGCTGCTGCTGCTGTCTCCTTTTTTGCCGCTGGTTTTTTATATTTCTTTTCTGATGTAATTTTAACATATTTGTCGCCTTCAAGTAAAATTAATTTAGGGTTTAGGGTTTAGGGTTTAGGGTTTAGGGTTTAGGGTTTAGGGTTTGTGGTGTACAGACATCAGCGGATTGCCAGGGACAGGAAAAACCGCCACAGTGCAGAGCGTGCTGCGTTCGTTGCAGCGAGATATGCAACAAAATGTGAGGGTTAAGGGTTTAGGGTTTAGGGTTTAGGGTTTGGGGTTTAGGGTTTAGGGTTTAGGGTGTATAGAGTATTGAATGCTGCCTCTATCACCAGTCCCTTCAAACGCAGGATTTTTTTTTAAAAAAAAATTTAGGGTTTAGGGTTTAGGGTTTAGGGTTTAGGGTTTAGGGTTTAGGGTTTAGGGTTTAGGGTTTGTGGTGTGTGCAGAAGGTTCCTCCTTTTATATGCATAGAAGTAAACGCAATGAAGCTGCAGCACCCCGATATGGTGTTTGTTGCGGTGTACAGGCAGCTCTTTGGCTGTAAACCCCTAAACCCTCAGCATGCATTTGAGGAGTTAGATAGACATTTCACTGGTGCTGCTGCTGCTGCTGCTGCTGCTGCTGCTGCAGCAGCAACAGCAGCAACAGCAGCAGCAGGGACAGCTGCAGCAGCAAATGCAAAAAGGAAATATAATTCTAAACTTAAAGTCAATAAATTACCCGTGTACGTACACTCGAGGGTTTAGGGTTTAGGGTTTAGGGTTTAGGGTTTAGGGTTTAGGGTTTATGCATAATATAAATATAGATAAAAATATAAATATAAACAAAAACAATAAAAAACAAAAAAATAAAACCAACAACAAAAGCAAATAAACAACAAAAAAACAAACAAACAAAATAAATAAATAAACAAACAAACAAACAAACAAACAAACAAAATAAATAAATAAATAAATAAATAAAAAATAAATAAAAAAATAAAAAAACAATTGGGGTGTATGTGCAGGGTGTTGGTGGTGGACGAGGTGGACTGTCTCCGCAGCGCGAAACAGAGAGTGCTTTACACTCTCTTTGATTGGGCCTTTGCTTCTTCTTCTTTTTCTTTTTCTTCTTCTGCTGCTCCTGCTGCTGCTGCTGCTGCTGCTGCTGCTNCTGCTGCTGCTGCTGCTGCTGCTGCTGCTCCTGCTGCTGCTGCTGCTGCTGTCTCTCCTTCTTTTTCTTCATCTTTTATTTTGATAGCCATTGCTAATACTATTGATCTGCCGGAAAAGATACTCAACTCGCGTTGTGCTTCCAGGATAGGTAAGCTAGCTAGCTAGCTAGCTAGCTAGCTAGCTAGCTGTGGCTAGCTAGCTGTGCCTGGCTAGCTAGCTAGCTAGCTATCTGGATACCTAGCTGGATAGCTAGCTAGCTAGCTAGCTGTGGCTAGGTAGCCATGTGCTGGGTTGGGGGGGGATGAATATCTGTAGCTAGCTAGCTAGCTTGTTGGTTAGGTGCAGCTAGCTGCAGCTAGCTGCAGCAGCAGCAGCTGCTGCTGCTGGTGATGTTGCTGCTGCATTGGGGTGTATGTACACCGCAGGGTTTGGGCGTCTGACGTTCAACCCGTACACGAGCGAACAAATCGAGGGCATTATACTGGAGCGTCTGCAAGACTGTAAAGACCTATTCGCTGAGTAGGGTTTAGGGTTTAGGGTTTAGGGTTTAGGGTTTAGGGTTTATCAGAGTTAATAGGGGTTTGTCAGGGTTTATTAGGGTTTATTAGGGTTTATTAGGGTTTATTAGGGTTTATTAGGGTTTATGAGTGTTTACTAGTGTTTATTAGGGTTTATGAGTGTTTATTACTGTTCATTACTGTTTATTAGGGTTTATTAGGGTTTATTAGGGTTTATTAGGGTTTACTAGGGTTTAGGGTTTAGGGTTTAGGGTTTGTGTGGCTGTGTTGGGGTGTACGTGCAGCGCCGCGATAAAAGTTTGCGCGCGAAAGATTGCAAATTTCTATGGAGACATTCGCCGGGCGCTGCAGGTCCTCAGGTACCCTCAAACCCTAAACCCTAAACCCTAAACCCTAAACCCTAAACCCTAGGGTGTGTATAAACCCTAGGCCTTGTTGCTGCTGCGGTGGTTTTGTTTCTTATTCAGGCGTGCACTCGAATCCTTGGGGGATGGCAAAAAGATATATGTAAGCATAGTCTCAGCAAATTCAGGGTTTAGGGTTTAGGGTTTAGGGTTTAGGGTTTAGGGTTTATGAGGGTGTGGGGTTTGCTTGTGCTCAGCCTGCCGATATAACGAGCGCTGCAAACGACCTCTTTGATTCTGTAGGTCTCCACCAAGGGTTTATTAGGGTTTAGGGTTTATTAGGGTTTATTAGGGTTTAGGGTTTACTAGGGTTTACTAGGGTTTAGGGTTTAGGGTTTAGGGGTGTTGTGCGAGTGTTGCAGCCATTGAAGGATTCCATCTTGTTGTTGCCTCGGGGGCTGAAGTGAGCGTTTCTAGGGTTTAGGGTTTAGGGTTTAGGGTTTAGGGTTTGTTGTGTGTATTTTATTTGTTAGGGTTTTATATTCTAGGGTTTAGGGTTTAGCGTATATATATTTTTGAGGGTTTAGGGTTTGCAGGATATCTAGTGCCTAAGCATGAGGTATAGACTATCGATCGACTCAGCATTTATTAATTTATTTATTTATTTATTTATTTATTTATTTATTTATTTATTTATTTATTTATTTATTTATTTATTTATTTATTTAGGCTTTTGTTGTATACTCTGCTGCGCGAGCAACGAAACTGCGGCGGTGGCGTGCCCCTGAGGTGCCTATACACCTCAATGCAAACGCTGCTGTCTGTACACCCCAACATACTAACAAAAGAAGAATATATTTGTGGTGGTTTATATACAAATAAAATACAATTAGAGGATATTAAAACCATGATAGATACTGTAAACCCTAAACCCTAAACCCCAAACCCTAAACCCTAAACCCTCAAAAATTTGCACAGAAATATAATACACCACCATATATACACACACACAAACCCTAAACCCTAAACCCTAAACCATAGAACCTAAGAAAAAATATCTTTAGGGTTTAGATTTCTAGGGTTTAGGGTTTAGGGTTTAGGGTTTAGAGGGTGGTTTGGGGTGTATGTACAGCTCGCCAGCATGCACATAGTGGAGGCGTACTTGCATCTACCGCGCCTAGAGGAGCCGCTGCATGCAGCAGCAGCAGCAGCAGCAGCAGCAGCAGCAGCAGGAGATAAGAAGAAAAAAGCAGCAGCTGCACGTACACCCGGAGGCAGCAGAGCTGCTGCTGTCGACCCCATCATTGATGAGCCCGGCGGAGACACAGAAATTGCTATCGTTGCACCTGTACGTGCTGCTGCTGCTGCTGCTGCTGCTGCTGCTGCTGTTGCTGCTGCTGCTGCTGCTTCTGTTGCTGCTGCTGCTGGTGTTGTTGCTGCTGCAGTGTTGTTGCTGCTACCCCAATACTAAGCCGATGCCTTTCAATTGCTTTTTGCTGCTCATTGCTTCCTTTGCGTTGTTGCTGCTGCTGCTGCTGCTGCTGTTGCTGCTGCTGCTGTTGCTGCTGCTGCTGTTGCTGCT